CTATGGACCCGCTGATCGCCTATATGTGAAACACCCGGTACCGGGTGTTCGCATTGGACGGGTCTTTTCTGCCCGTGCGTGCCCGCTAGGGGGCGTGCGCGAGCAGAAAAAAAATGCCGTCTGGCGACGGCAACCCGCCAATGCAGCAGTGCCGTCCGTCCGTTTTTCTACTACGGGCGGACGGCAAGAGGTTAAGAATGCAAAAGATCAATGAGTTGACCCTGACCTTAAGAGAGTGTTTATTACCGCAGAAGCAACTGTAAATTGATGATAGCTGTGACCCCAGTTGCCAGGGCTATTAGGGTGTGGACTTCTTAAGTCAAGTCAGACTTAGGCACAGGAACAGGAGATGAGTCAGGAAATTCGGTGCCAGAGGAGCTATGCCTGTCTTCTAATTTCATTGTGGCAGTGGCTGTTATCCTTAAGAATTGTGACTCATTTTGTAACCTCCAGATGAGCTCTCTGGCTAAAAAATTAATTAGCAGCCTGCAAGCATGGTTTATGCACTATACCATTTAAAGTTGGAGCACTTTTCAAGAAGACCTTGGATAATGCAATCTATTGTATGACTGGCTGGGAAATCTGGCCTCACACAGGAACAGAGGCGAGTTCTGCAGCTCTTTGGACCACAAGATCAGTATAAAGAATCTTTATCTTACTGGCCTGGAAGAAAGTTCATGCCTTGTCATGACTTGTCTGATCCAGTGGGACCATGGCTCCCTTCCCCAGCCCATGCAAATTCCACACTCTATCTGGCAGGACATCTGACAGTGGACTTAGCATCCTAACCTCTCTCTCGGTAGGCTGTTCAACCCTGGACACTGGGTCATAGTTACTACAGATGCCAGACAGGATTTAAGGGCCCAGGGGTTCTGGAAGATTCCTAACCCAATGCTCCAACTTTTTGGTGCTAAAGGCAGCCAGAGAGCCCTTGATGGCTTTACTTCCAGTTCTTCAGATACAGAGTAAAGTTATTGATGGACAAAAAAATATTTAATCATCTCCAGGTTGCTGCAGAAATTTTCGACTGGGCAGAGGAGTACCTGGTGGACATTTCAGTCTCTTGTCTAACCAGACCACAGCATTGCCTAATAGACCAACTGAGCCGGAGGTTTCACACAGAATGGGAATTAAACCCCATGTCAGGATGATTTTTGCTCTTTCGGTAGAGACAGATCTGATGGAATTGCCAGACAACAAACAGGTTTTACTGTTTTATTCCCGCTACTTCTGTCATCAAGCTTTGGGTCAGGATGCCCTTTCTCAGTCCTATATATTCAATCTAATATACCTCTTCCCTCCAACAGCATTGATTCTTCATTCTTTGTTAAAGATCCAGGAGGAAGAAATATCAGCAATCACATGTGCCATGTTCTCTCTGAGGAGGCCATGGTTTCCCCTTGTAGTTTACATGTTGGTGTGTCCTCTAAAAAGCCTTTCACATGCTTGGGACCTGCTGTTACAGGGAGGTCATTTTCATCCAAATTTGGATCGTCTAGCCTTGACTGCATGGAATTTGAGAGGAACAGGCTCCAATCTTTAAACCTCTCCTCATCTGTCGTGTTGAATCTTCTCACTTCCAGGAGATCTTCAATGAGTTGTAAGCATAATCACATTTGACAAAAGTATAAGTCTTTTGCTTCTTCAAACCTCTTTGACTTCCAGCTTCCTCCCATTGCAGACATACTTAATTTGTAGTTTTAATCCTAAAGGCAGCTTTCAAGATGCAAGCAATGATTTGTGCTATTTTCCCTAAAAGGGACCTATCGCTTGTTTTAAAGAGATTTAGGGAACTTGCCTTCTCCCCAGTGTTCCATCTGTCACCTTACACTAAAGACTGTTGTTCTCATGGCAATAGGCTTGGCTACGTGGGTCTTGGACTGAAGTGCTTTCTCGTGCAAGGAACCCTATTGCACCTATCTACTAAATAGAGTGTTTTTAGAACCTTGTCTGAGTTTCTTACACAAGTTAACTCAGAGTTCCACTTTAATTATTAATGATCTACTCTCCTGGCCATTCCTCCCTCAGCCTCTAATTAAGAAGAACTGCATTGGAGCAATCTGGACCGAAAGGCCCTGTTATATACTTACCTGCTAGTTTCGCCAAAGAGTCTCTTCATTCAAGGGTCCGAAGAGTGGCATGCCTGCGTCCCCAAAGATAATATCCTCACATATAGTCAAGACCATGCAGATCACCTATTGAAAGGAAGATCTACCCTCTCTGCAGGATATAAAGGCACTTTTAATCAGTGTAATGGCAAAATCCTGGGCAGCATGGTTGAAGTTATCGGCATATGTGGTTTGTAAAGTGGCAAGCTGTTAGCTTTATCGGTCCCTATAAACTGGATATGGCTTCGGGCCCTAGACAAATAAAGGCCACATCAGTCCTTTCTTCCACTTTGGCACAGCATTAAAACTTTTGAGCAGCATTGTGTGTGGCCAATATTGCTTTTTCACTTCCTATGTAGGCCAAGGCTAGTTCAGTCACATTTTGTGCTCACATGATGCAGAGCCAGGAAAATGGAAAATTATTTCCATATACTTATCGTAATTTTCATTCCCTCTCTCTGCCTCATGTCAGCACTAAACCCTCCCTATGCGTAGTGAGTCTAGTCATGGAATATCTACTAGTGGAGGCTCCTTCTATTTATTGATCTAGATACGGGTTGTTGAGGGGCATACCTGACCTGTTGTGTGCTGACATCAGACAGACAGAGACAGGAATAGGAAATTATTGTAAGCATAGAAAAACTATATATATATATATAAATATATATTTACATCTATTGTATGATTGTCACTGTATATGGACACAAAAGGGTAACCAAATGGAGAACACAAAGGAAACAGACTTAAGAATGAAGCAGAACAATAGAGACAGGGGTGTGCAGTGTCTGCTGTGAAAGTAAGATTACTAGTCACAAAAGATTAAAAATATATCTTTAAAACAGGAAAAATCTCCACCAGTGATTGGGCGAAAGCAATGGAGGCGGTTCTCCATCTAGAACTGCCTTGGCGGACTTTACGTTCTCGACTTGCAAGGTTGACACCTGATGGGAGTGTGGAATACCTGTCTTGTTTTGAAGATCTTCAGATACAAAAACCCATTAAAGAAGTGAGTGGTATTATGCTTACGTCTTTTTAAGATACCAGCTAATGTTTTCCTTTAAAGTAGTTCCATCAGTAATTACACAAGTCTTTATGACATGTCACTGTATATTTTTTCACAAAAAGCCTGTACCATTTATCATTAGAAAGCACCCCTTGATCTCTGGGGTAGTGATTGAGAGGTGCAATCTGGTGGAATGATATCATTCATCTGCTGCAGGCAGGAGAAAGGATTTCAACAGTCTACCCTCCCCAGGAACCACTCTAACATTGTACATAGTGATGGGCAAAATGTGTACAAAGAGCCAAGAAATGCACAGGAACCAGGATTCGTAGGATTGTCAGCTCTGAAACTGCATCTTAGTCCAAGAAGTAAATTTTAAACCTCACATTTAGGATAGCAACTGCTATAATTTTTGCGGTACTCTTAAAATAACCAATAAAATATACACAAGCCATTCATATCACACAGTAATTTGAGGACAGTAACTTATAGCTTTGTGTTGCTAAAAGATAATCCTACCTAAAGTCATGTCTATCGATATTAAGCAACATATATAAAATATCTGTATCTTCAGGAACCTAAATCCACAGTTGATCCAAAGTAGTGCAAAAACCCCTTATAACATGTGGTTCAGCTTTCTGCAACAGGAAAAAAAATGAATTCTTAATTCCTATAGGCAATTAGATAATTCCCTGGATCTGCATTCTGCAATGCTGCTTATTATTAATAGCAATTGCAGTTTATATTTACAAACACATCTGGCTTTTTTAGGCAGTCTGCTTAGTAAATCCACAGTAAACACCACTCAAATTCTAGAATCGGCTCACACTGTGATTGCATCCCAGGTGCAGGCAAACAAGTGCACCATCGCTTATAGCAACCAAATCCAGAACAAGCTACGCTACAAGGGTTTTCACTGAAGATAAAAACCAAATCCAGAAATAGCCGCACTCCATGGGTCTTCACCAAAGATAAAAACCAAATCCAGATATAGCCGCACTCCATGGGTCTTCACCAAAGATAAAAACCAAATCCAGAAATAGCCGCACTCCATGGGTCTTCACCGAAGATAAAAACCAAATCCAGAAATAGCCGCACTCCAAGGGTCCTCACCGAAGATTAAAAAAAATAAATCCAGAAATTGTCGCACTCCAAGGGTCTTTACCGAAGATAAAAACCAAATCCAGAAATTGCCTCACTCCAAGGGTCTTCACTGAAGTTAAAAACCAAATCCAGAAATAGCCGCGCAAAGATGTCCAGTCAAAACGTTTAGATTCTGTTGTGGATATGGTATGGAAGGGATATGGATATGGTGTGGAAGGGATAGAAGACCTGATGAGCTTTTACTGCTATCCCAGAGCCTGGTTTTACAACAGATTTGGCAGGCAGGAATTGAGGGAAAATCTGCAAGAGGAACACAGACAAAAAGCTTCCCATACTCTACTGAAAAAAGTGTTTTTGTTTCTGTCTGAGTTGCTGTTGGGGATTTACAGTCACTTCATAAAACTATTGTTACCAGGTCAGGAACTGAATACAAGAATATGTAGCAGAGACCCAGAAAACAATGATTACCTGACAGGGGTGCTAATCATTCCCCACCATAGGCATAAAGGGGGGAATTTATCAAGGGAGTTGCTCCACTTTTCTGTCCTATCTCTTTAAGTGACACATTTTCCACGTTATTTGCACCTTATTTATGAATGAAGTCTAAGCCTTGATAATAAATGTCATTTTAGTTAGACATATAGGGAGGAGTTTATCATAGCAATTGCAAGTGTTTGAACTTGCACAGAATATTTTTGCACCAGATTTATGTTGCTAGTGTAATGTTAAAAAGAAACCACAAATGGTTGCGCTGGGAGAAACTTAGTGACTAAAAATTATAACCAGCTGCAACAATGTATGGTGTAAACCGTGACAAAGTGAATAGCAGATGTGTAGCGCTAGGTAATCAAAATATGAATGGGACAGAGCAACCAGCCTCAGTGACCTCCTAGTTGCTGTGATGTGTGAATCAATAAACACAAAATAAGATAAAGTAAAAAATATTGAAAAATGCAAATAAATAATCACTTAATAACCTGTGTGTGTTTGTTAATTCATTCTCAGTGTATGAATAAATACAATCAATGCCGCATATAGCCGCCGTGTCATCTGTGACAAAACTCTGTGTGTGAAGTTTCTGAGGTGCTTCTAAGTCAGTGGTTCTCAACCTTTATAGGGCCGGGACCCCTTGGTAACATTTGCCAGGTTGTGGTGACCCCCAACCGTAAAACTTATGGATGCCCCAATACTAGTATCTGTGTGGGCTCTCTGGAGGCTATGCGGGCTCTCAGGTGGCTAGTGGGACTCTAGTGGTGCCCAGTTGCGTGCTCTGTGGTGCCCAGTTGCGTGCTCTGTGGTGCCCAGTTGTGGGCTCTGTGGTGCCCAGTGCCGGATCTGTGGTGATGAAGCACTCACTTCCCCTCACTCCTGCCCGCTCCCCTCTCTTTGACCCTCTCCAGCGGCTGCTGATGCAGCACCATCTAAGAGAACTGACACTGCTGTGCTAGGAGAAGGCTGAGGAGTCTCTTACCTAAAGCAGCACAAGGCATGTGGGCACCCCCTAAACTGTGGGTTGCGACCCACTTTTGGGTCGCGACCCACAGGTTGAGAACCACTGTTCTAAGAAATTGATGTGGGTGCTTTCAACACTGTGACTCAGGTGGTATGTCAGCAATCATGTGATTAGGTGCACATGTAGGTTTAAATCCGTCAATAGGATTTATCTCCACATCCCACAATATGTGCATTAATAAACAATTGGGGTGGACAAAACTAGTTGCTCCCCGTAACTGTAACAAAATCCCCCAAAAAATGTATATAAAATCCCCAAAAAATATATAAATCCCCAAAAAATAAAGATTATTAGTCCATGCACTCATCTAATAACCTCCCACCAATTGGCGGCGTGGGGTATAGTTACTTAATAGTCCTATTGTTCGGTGAATTCAAAAAGGGTTTCTGTCTTGAGAACGATCCCTGTTGTTTTAAATTGGGCCGTCCGTTTCTGCATTCATTCAGCAATAAAGCTGGATTGGACGCCACTCAGCTTCTTCCCCTCCCCTCGTGTATTCAACGGCAATCGCCCGCCGGTGTTTCAAGAGCGGGAAATATAAAAGACAGAGGCCTCCTAAGTGCAATAATTTATAACATTTAATGGAAAAGACAAGTTCTTTATGCACTTACAAGAAGCAGGATTTTTAAAACGTTTGAGCGGTAGGAGCACTCAGCCATACAAGCCGTAAATTCAGTGTGAGACGGAGGCAGTGATCCCTTAATGCGTTTCGTCAATGGACTTCATCTGACTTCATCTAGTGTAATGTTGTTGATAAATGAGGTATAATAGACTCCAGCAATGAAGACTTGTAACTTCAGGCAAAAAGCTTAACTGTCGCATCTTGAAGAAGTGGTCATGGGGACTTCTTAAGTTGTGATTGTTTTCTTAGGTGAAGCTCCAGTTTCATACAGCCCCAGAACAAGTGCAGATGAAAACAGGTGCAAAAAAACGTGCAGTTGAAAAAGTAGTGCAAGCTCTGGTCATAACAGGTGCAAAACACGTGCAAAAAACATGTGCCATTGGAAAAGTAGTGCAAGCTTTGGGCAAAACAGGTGCAAAACACGTACAGTTGGAAAAGTAGTGCAAGCTCAGGTGAAAACAGGGGCACATGTTAAAAGACAGATTTGCACGTTAAAAAAAATGATCTAAGAGGCTAAAACTGTCGTAATTATTTATATATA